GTTAGCCTTTCCTAGATATCGTGTGATGTACCGATGTAGGCCGCAAGAAGCAACAAGACACTTGTGGAATCACACCACCCGGAAATCTACGTTGCTCTTAGTTCTTACCTGTTATCTCATTTTGTACTATCGTAGGCCGCAAGAAGCAAGAAGGTTCTCGTAGAAACAGATCACCCAGAAGTCTACATCGCGTTGAATCTTTCTGATATCGCATTATACACTGCTTTATGCGGCACGAAGCAATGAGAATGTAATAGAAGCAAGTCATGTGGAAGCCTACGTTGCTGTGATTTCTTTCTAGCCGCCTTGTTTGAAGACAACTACATCTCGAATTTTGACGTGACGTGACGTAAATGTCGATAGCAGCCACAGTATGTCTCACTGACCGCCAATTTGTCACGCTCCATTGTGCAAACACTCCGTTTGCGCCTTTACCTTAGGCTGCCACCCGTCTTTCTCGCTTCCGATTGACAGCATCGCAACTGCCGCTCCAATTACCTCTCATACTCGCGACACCCTACACACCCGCGCCGATATGGCCACCAAGACCACTAAGAGGCGCAAAATGCGACCTTACGAGAGAAAGGCACTGGTTATCGAACAATTGGGCTTCGGGCGGAAGCAAGCGTTCAGAGACTGGCGCGCGAGTGATCTAGTGAAGCCCCACTGGGAAACATTCAGCAAACACTTCCTGGATCCAATTCTCTTCAAATCCGGCAAAAAGGGTCCAAAGTTCATTCACGTCTACACTCGGATGATCAACGGCGAGAAGCGTGGCGCGAGGACGTTCTCGGCCCGCATCAACAGACAGTACACTACCGATATCGACTGGCATGCATGGCTTTTGTATTGCCTTGTCGACCAAAACACGAAGTGCAGAAATGGTTGCTTCTACGCAAAGAGGCTTGAGAGACTGGCAACATACTGAAGCATGTGGGACTTCATCGCTTTCGAGAAGCGACGGCGCGCACGGGGCAAGGGCAAAGGCACTGCCAGTTCATCAAAAACCGCACCATCCTCGTCCAAACAACTAGACCTCCTCGAAGCTACCTCATCTGTGGATGCGTATGAGCATCGCCTCCATCCCGACGAAGGTGTTGCCAGCATCTTCTGGGTCGAAGGTATGCCGGAAGCTTTAGAAGAAGATGAAGGAGCATCCATTCGAGCAACCGTCCAGGGCTTTTGCGGCATGACTGAAGTTGAGTTTGAAAGAGCGGTCATGGACGTCTTTGATCTACGTAGCCACCGGCAGATTGTAGTGGAGTTGGAAGCCATAGGGGGTTTAACGTATATCGGCGCTCAGTACTTCGCGCACAGAGATGGGAAAAAGGTCATTTTCATGTTGACCACCAGGGAAGTAGCCAACGAAGAGGAAATGAAGCCAGTACCGTTGTTTCTACAAAGGGTGCAAATGAATTTGACGTAGCTCCCGCCAATAGGCGCTTGCTCGATTCAAGCGCACATGACAGTCAAGTGCATGGGTACGCCACATATCGCTTCTCTCTACCAAGTCGTTCAAAACTAATCAAGACACTGTCTCAGTACTGGAGAGTCTTCCTTCCTTATTGGCTCAATTAGATTTGGACATCTGGGGAAAGGACGACAAGCCTTGAGACGATGAAGACGAGGATGGAGATCTTCTCGTGGCTAGATGTGTATATGTAGCTTACGGTAGTATCCGATAATAAATGCAATACATTGCAATATATCAAATGATGTGGATATGTCTTTTTGGCTCATACCAGAAGCTGAATTTGGTAGCTTGCTTATGTGCCCGCAAGCAAGTCCGCCAACTGATTTCAATTTCGGATGGGATGCTTTAGATATGGGTCTCAGTATTTGATGATGATCTATCCGTTGTAGAAAGGTAAACTCAATACATGAGTAGATCTAACAAACCAGTAAAGTAACACGGTATAATACAAAACGGGAAATGAAGTCCTAGCCTCTTCAACCCAACAATAAATCATCTCCACGTCGCACACAACCTCAAAAGTCCAAAAGACTTCTCCCCGGAACAACGACCGCAGTATTCGGCGCCGACAAATCCTTAGCAGGCTCAGCCTTCGGTACAGCAAACCCATACTCCGCCTCCCAATCGTCTTCGTAATCGCTCTCGTCCTCGGAATCCCAGTCACTCTCCTCGCTGTTATCCTCATAATCGCGCTCACTCCAGCCATCGCTATCGTCATCCGCCTCATCCTCCTCATCTTCATCCACCCAATCCGCATCATCCTGGTCATCGCCATCGTTCTCAAAGTCGCGTGTCGAAACCTTGACCTTACTAATGACTGGTACATCCAAAAACCTGTGAACGCTTAAATCCTCTAGCTCTCCAGTGAGCAGCTCAGTGCCACTTGTGTAGCCTAGTCCGCCTTTCTTGTCTATTTCATTGCGCTCGAAATCGAGTTGCACAATGGCCGGTTCGCCCCAGCTGTTGGTGTGGTTGAAGCGCAGTACCTGCAATGTATCCCAAAGTGGTAGTGGCTTTGAGGTGATGAGCTGCTGGATGGCGTTTGCGTGGCTTCGTTTGCTGTGATGCACGTATAGGGCCTCCAATCCGCTCAGCGCTGTGAGCATGGCTTCCATACGCTTGCCGTAGTTGTCGTCAATCGTGCCTTCGCTCATCTTCAGGTATTTGACGGTCGACGCGTAGGTGGGATTCGAGGTTACGGTGCGTAAGAACAGATCCCAACGCATGTTGGCGATTGTTAAGCTGATGTTCTTCGCGATATGGACGGAGGAAATGCGATTGAGTGAGTGCGCCGTTAGGGAGAGGTTGATGATATGGCGGTAGAGTGTTGGCTGTTGGCCTTCTTCAATGTCATTGACACTAGGCCGATCGGGCGCAAGGTATACGGATATTAGATGGAGGACTGGGTCGGGGAGGGACGATAAAGTAACGAGCGACATGTTCGCGGTAAGAGACGAGGTTGCGAGGTATGTGCGACAAAGTTGCAGACTGAGATGTTGGGTTATGAGGAAAAAGAGGCGAGGTGGGTATATATTGGAGAGAGACGCGTCTCGATGATGTAGACGCGCCGAAATGGCGCTAAGTTTGAGATGGTATGGCGCGTGCACCCCCTAGACAGAAGAACGCGAAATAGCGCGGTAGTGTTCCCGGGCCATAGGCGAAGGGCCGGTGATGGCAGCAGCAGCAGCAAGAGTCGATATGTTGTGAATGCCCTCTCGACACATGGAATCGTATTGCATTGCCATGATATGTTGACCCAAACGCCGCGCTATGCAATGAAAACCAATCAGGTCCAACCCTCGCTCATAATTTGACTTTCTTAACAGGCTTTTGTTCCGCCGTCGCATCGTCCTTCTTCCGCTTGAAGATGCTCTGACTCTTCATTTGACCTAGTCCAGTTTTGTTTGCTGGCGCAGCCTTTGCTTTCAGGCCAAAACTAAGCTTGACAGGCGCTGCATCCGCCTTCGGCTCCGTAGCATCTGTCTTCTCCTCTCCTTGTGTTTGTTCGTTGGCCGGTGATTCGACCTTCTTCTCCTCCGTTGGGGATGCTCCTTCTGCTGGAGGGGTGACCTGTTGTTGTACTGCTGCTTGTGCCGCAGCTCGTTTCGCCTCGATAGCCTTCTTGGCTTCGGCTTCTTCTTGTGCACGCTTCGCCATCTTCTTCAACATCTTGTCTTCGCCCGCACCGCTCCGTGCCTCAGCAGCCTCCATCTCCGCGATCTCGTTACGCCTGTTCAAGGCCGCAACAGAAGTATCTCTCCAAGCGATCATCAATCCGTCCTTCTCATCTTCCTTGACATGACAGATACCCTCACGTCCCAGGTGTTTGGCAAACTCGGTGAGCGAACTCCACTTAGTAGCGTTCATGTGGACGTGTTCCTTGTCTCGAATATACTCGTTGTAGAACTTGTTGACACCGATCCACTTCTCGTTGTGTGCTGTCCGCAGAAGGTTGACGAAATCCCTTTGGAACTCGTTGCTGAACCCTTGAATGTACTTCTTAGGGTCCTCGCCGACAACTTGCAAGTTGCGGACATGGCCCTCGCTCTGGACGTGGCATTTGAAGCCGTTGGCGTCGCGACATTGCTTCTGGCACGGCTCACACCACCAGCGCAAGCGCTGCAAGCCCTTTGACTTCATCTTGTTGGCCACCCATTTTGTACTGCCCGCTTCAGCCTTGCCCATGGTTGTGGTTGTGGTTGTGGCGGTGTCGACGGTGATTTGGCGTAGAGGGTAATGCGGTTACGAGGACGGTCGTCGCGTATACAGTGTGAAATGACAGCGGATGTCGACGATAGTCCCGTGTAATCGTGTGGGTTTCGTATAGGTAGCCGCGATGCGCGGGGCGGAAGGTCGTATGGTGATTGAAGATTGGCGTGAATGCGCAAGACTCGTAGGGCTGCTCAAGTGGCTGACTAAAGAGATCGCCACCCGCGGCTGCGCTAGCGCTAGACAGAATTGGGTCCACTGCGCACGAAGGTAACTGCATCTCATGTGCGCACACGATACCTCGCATTTGATAAGTTGATAGTAAGCTATTTGAGAATAACAACGTCTCTAAAAGTTGGAATGGTAGCAGTACCGTCTAAGTCCCGAGGTCACCAATATTAGTGGGTATCGGATTTCACCACGAGCGCTCTCCGAACGTACAATGTAGAACCCCTTGGATTCAAAGTCCATTAGTATGCTGAAAATCACCTAGTTCAGATAGTTCACTTGACGCTTTTGTAGCCCTCGAACGCACCTCATACAAGCATAGAACTAAACAGGTTTGCAGACTACATTGATATGAAACCTTGGAACCCTTCAAAGTAGGTAAGCTAGCGTCAATGTAGCCTCTAGGGTGTTCAGTGTTTTCCTAGGTTGACGTGGATGGATGAAGGTGAGTGAGCGGGTATTTGTTCGCTTCGGCAGGGACCCAGGCAATTTTATACCCACACGTTACAAGGCGCCGCGCCCAACTCAGACAGTACCTAGGTAGCCATACTCTATCCTCCTGATAGACTGGTAGCTACGACTAGCTACAATGGCGCGAGGTTCCTTCACCACTTCCTCTAAAAAGCGAAAGCGCTCAACCCGCAAGCCGTATGAGGACAGAGGCAAGATCGTCGCCTCTCTCGGATACTCCTACACTGACGCCGCTTTTGACAAGTGGCGAGACTCATCGCTCGTCAAACCGTGGTGGGAAGTCTTCGTCAGCAAGTTTCTGAAGACCGATCTCTACAAGCCTGATAATAGCGTTCCCACCTTTGACGATCTCTATGCACGCATCCGGGACGATGAGTGGCGCGGCCGCATAGGATCCCTTGGGCAGACGCATTTTCCGAGGTACGACAACGAGACGGACTGGTATTCGTGGTTGTTACACAGACTTGTCGTGGAGAACACTGGCGACCGTGAGGGGTGTTTCTACTATTGGGGAAGAGAAGACGTGGAAACCGTATTCCGAACAGCTTACCACTACATCCTGTTTGCGAAATGGGAGCGCGCAACAGCACTCACGAGATCGAAATCCACGAGATCGCCAAAGACGAACGCAAAGGCGACTACTGCACGTAACCTGGCGCCTTCATCAGACGACTCGGATGCTGGAGAGTGCGAACCAACACTAGGGCTTGCGTACGTGCGGTGGACTGAAGGCCGACCTTTGGGCGCGCGTTTAGCGATTGAGATCGAATCATTTCGTAGCTATAGCTTGGAGGGCTTCCTGGAAGAGATTAACCAGCGTTTTGGGCTCAGTAACCGCAAACAGCGTTGTACGGCGCTGGTAGCTGAGGACAGCCAGGCACGCCCGGCAAAGTATGAAGTGGTAGTCTTCACGCTTGAGACTGAGGATATCGAGGTTCCGGAGGAGAAGCTCAGCGACGATGACAGGGTATTCCGATAGGACGATTACATATCGGACAAGGTATCGCTTCCATGGAGGTGAGGAGTTATTAGACCAGGGGGAAATTGTACCTTATACTGGGAAACAAAACGAACAGGTGCTCTGAAGTCTACATTGCTCTGAGGACCTGAGTTTGTAAAATACGGAGGTGATGTAGACGTCTCGGTTAGAAGATCAATGTCCGCTTCTCCTCCGAATAAAGTGCCCTCGTGCTGAGATGACACACACCTCTCGTGCTTTAGCACACTAACTTCTTGTACCAACGACCCCCCTAATGCAGAACCATCCCCTTGCATACCCGTCACGGCCCGCACTCTTGGCTACAATCAACACTCTTCTTCTCTTTCCCAACCTGGTAGCAAAACAGATCTAGAACATAGGAGTAGCGCGGTGTTCCAATACAACGACCAAGGATCGTATGAGGGTTGCTTCCGCGGAGGCAGGGGTAGGGCTAGATTAGGGAGAAAGTGCGAGCCTCGGAAGAAGTGCGAAGGAGTGCGACAAAAAGTGCGAAGTGCGACTAAAAGTGCGAAGAAGTGCGACTGTGTTCTACGGTGGAGTACACAGAAGTTACCTCTTTGGGGGCATTTGGGATGGGAATCTGAGAATTCGGTACTGATGATGATGGATGATATGGCGAACCGAATTTGGCATGGAGGAAACGGGGTTCTGACACAAAGATGTACGCGAGACACCCCAAACAGGGTAACGCATAGTGCATATCGGAAAGGGCCCGCTATGAGAGCCGTTTGAACCGGGAGTCGCAGGTCTTCGGTGCAGAGACACGGTACAGGAAGGCGAGAAGAGCAGTTCTGGACGGGAGGAGAAGGGTCAAGCCGCATACGCATATGCAGACATTACCGACGAACCAACATCCCAATCCCACCCAAAGAAAGAAGAAAAGAAAGCAAATACTTTACCTTTCCCTCTCCCATCCTCGACAAATCTCTTCACACAAACCCACACGTCTCACGCCCATTCGCCCCCCAAACCCCTCTCTCCATCCACCCATCACCTTAACTCACCGAAGGATTCACTTAATGCCCCCGAGAAGCACCGCAATTGACCGACTAGAATCAACACTTTTTGGCCTTTCCTTCCCCATGCAGGCAGCCTTATAGCAGATTTGACCGAAAAGGGTGGCAGGTGGAGACCGTGGAGGTGAAGTGGCAACAAAGGGAACGATTGTGGCGAAGACGCCAAGCCAACGTTGAAACCAAGGGAGCGATCCGAGAGGAGGATAGGGTAGGGTGTTCGGGTAAGAGTAGACGCCCCACTTTGCTGCGAAAAATTATGGGAATGCCGATGCCTTGCCGAGCATGGCCGTGTTCCCCGGTCCAAACAAAAGGCGGCACAGACGCGGGTTTTTGTGGGAATAAAGCGGAAATGGCAAATGGTCAAGGGGCATCAGTGCGTCTTGGTGAGAATAATAAGTCCGAAGAAGAGCGACTGGAATCCATGGTTTCTGCGTTTTGTTGCCTCTTGGAGTAACAGATGGGGCCGTTATGACGTTGTTCTCGGTGCGCTTGGTGTTGCGGATGGGTTATGCTTGTACCCGATGGTGTGGTTTTGCGTGTGGATAAGACTATTACCGTCTTGAACGGCCCTTTCACGCTCGCACGTCGGATTACGCGAGTATGTGTAAGCAGTGCCTTCCTCCGATCTCTCACAGATGCTTCAGATCGCACCCATTGTCTTGAATCCAGAGATCGCCGATGTCGCCGGCTGGAATCCACGCATAAGAGCGAGGTTGCCTAACGCAGACGGACCGGATGGGTGTACCAAGGTCGGTGCATTTGACCGAACCGCTGTATGAAAAGAGACATACTCCGAGTAGGCTTACAAAATCCTGATTCTGCCGCAATCAACGGTGGAATGGAAGTTGCTGCATTGGGTAAGTGGATATTCTTGCAATCGAGATTTGAGGATCGAGATTTTGAATAGTGATCAAGTGATGGAGGGAAAAAAGAGAAGATGCAGATTGGGACGGTGCAATGTGGGGACCATGAGATGTACATTCGTAGATCATCTATGGGAGGCAGTCTGGGTATTCAATTGCCCTCTGCATATGCTGAAAGTCTACCACCGTTGGGTTATGCCAGGTCCTGAAAGAGCAAGGCAACTTCAAGCATACCGTTCTGCGAGCACGTATACACAGCGTGGGTGCTGAACTGTTTCCAGGGCAAGTCAGGCGAGAATCGGCGCGGAGTGACCTATCGTGTTCGACGATGTTATGTGTGGTGTTGCGCGGGTGACGAGTCAACCTCATGTGCACCCACTGCACATTATCTCCTGTCTCTTCAATCCACCCTCCGCCTAACACTCCTGTCACCATCAGCACCCATGCCCCCAACAACATCCTGCACCAGCTCCCTCAACTGCGCCTGCACCTCTTCAGAATCATAGTCTTCCCGCGCCGCGAGCTCCTCAATGCGCCTACGTATCTCAGGATCCGGCGCATCGACAGCATCTTCTTCCATGGTGCCGACATTGACCTTGACACCATCGGGTAGTGGGGGCGGCGGGTGAACACCCTCAGTCTCTATGATGCCCGGTGCAGCTGGCTCGTCGCCGGTGCGTAGACTCTTGAGGTACTGGTACACTTCGTGTGTCTCGCCCTCCTCTTCGCCTATCTTCTCCTCGGCTGTCTGGCCCTCTTGATTTTGTATCTTTGTGTCTGCGCCTAGTTCTTCAACAAGGCACTTCGCTACTTCGGTCTTCTCGGCCGCGAAGAGGGGTGTCTCGCCGTCCTCGTCGGTGATGTTGACGTCGGCATTGTGTTTTTGGACCAGGTCGCGCAGCACGGCGAGCTGGTTGTACGAGGCTGCGGCGTGGACTAGCGAGTAGCCGTGTGCATCGCGGGCAGAGGCCAGGTGTGGGTGCTGCTCCAGCGAGGAGAGGATGGACTGCGGGCGCGTGTCGATGAGGTTGAGGAGGAGATCGATGGTTGGTGCGGGAAGCGCCATGGTGGGCTGCGCGTGAGGCTGGTCGGAAGTGCCGGGCGTCTGTGTCGGAATGCTCGGTATTCTGGGCGTGTTGGGCGATCGCGAGGGCTGCGCATTCGAGTACGCGCAATTCTGGCTGCAAATCTAAAAATGACGTGGTGGGCGGAGATGCGGAGACTTCCCTGTGGCGCTCCCCATCGCGCGGCTAGCTGCCATCCCGGCCCCCAGATCGACTAACATCTTGACTTTCATCATCGCGCATCTGCGTAATACATGCCAAACTCTATCTCATTATCATCTTTAATGTTTATGTGAACATGTCAGCGGATGAACAGCTGGTGCAAGCCTCGGACACCGAAGTCAGGCCGGCGCAATAAGGAAATGTCACTGTATGGGGCGCTCTGGGCGCCAGCTGAGACATCCGGACGATCAAGACCAACGCCCAGCGCCCATCACACACAGCCTCAAACCGTCAGCCTGGGCCTTGGCCATGCTCGCGTGCCCCTTCACCCTTTTGCCCTCCGCTGCCGTGCCTGCCTCGTAATCTTTACACGTCCTAGTTGTTCTTTCTTCTTCTATTTGGTAGGCGCCATACACGTCAACACCGACCGCAGCATACCGTATACCGTATCTTTGTAATACTGTCGCACAGCGTCACCCAACGCTAGACTGTCGCCTTTGTCTTGGCCTTCTCTAGCCGCCTTAATGCGCTTGTCCCTTTGATCTATTGTCTGGACTTGACTTGCATTCTTCTCTTCTCCGTCTGTCGTCATTAGACACCCACTCTCGCAAACATGAGGACCATCAGAGGCGTCGGCGTGCCGTCGGTTCGCCTCGTCCTTTCCTACGTCTTCGACTGGATCGTCATCATCGCTATTGCAGCCATCGCCGGCGGCTGGGAATATGTCGAGCCCTTCCGACGACCCTTCTCGCCAGTCGACCTCTCGATATCGTACCCGTACCAGACCAGCGAAATGATACCGACATGGCTCCTCGTCGTAGTCTCCCTCATTGCGCCCGCCGCCATCGTCATGATCGTGTGTCTCGTTTGGGTCCCCGGACCAACCGCCGAACGCGGCACACCCAAGTCGCTCATTTGGAGGAGGAAGCTTTGGGAATGGAACACCGGTTGGATGGGTCTTGCGCTTTCGCTCGCGACGGCATTCCTCATCACACAGGGCATGAAGAACCTCTTCGGAAAGCCGCGACCTGATCTTCTGTCAAGATGTCAGCCAGACCTCGAAAACATTCAGGATTATGTTGTCAACACTGTTGGAGAGATTTTCAATCCGGCCTGGGTACTCGTCAGCGCAGACATCTGCAAGAATCCCGACAAAGACCTTCTCAAGGACGGCTTCAAGTCCTTCCCCAGCGGCCATTCCAGCTGTAAGCACACCCTCCAATCTCTACAAACAACCCGCTAATCCAATTCTTTTAGTTTCCTGGGCCGGCCTCCTCTACCTAACCCTCTTCCTCGCCTCCAAATTCTCCGTCGCAATCCCCTTCCTCCCCCACCGCCCCTTCTCCACAAACCCCGCCCACACCTCCGCCATCTCCCCCTCCAACCTCAAGAAACAAGCCACCCTCCCCATCCACAAACAAGACTCGTCCCTCTCATCCCCAACCTCCTTCAACGACGACGCCGTAGTACCCATCCGCTACCAAAACGCCGCTCCACCCGTTTACACTTTAGTCCTCATCTTGGTCCCCATCTGCGCCGCCATCTACATAACAAGCACCCGCTTCACCGATTTCCGCCATTTCGGGTTCGATATGTTGTTTGGTACGCTGATTGGTGTGACGTGTGCTTGGTTTTCGTTCCGATGGTATCATCTCCCTATTACACGGGGTGCGGGATGGGCCTGGGGACCTAGGAGCTACGACCGCGCCTGGGGCATTGGTGTCGGCAGGGGTAGCTACGTCGGTACGGAAGGCTGGAGTCGAAATGGAGGTAGTGAGACTGCGCTCAGGAGACGCGCGGATGCCCAGGGTACTGCGAATGGGCATAGTGTGGATGAGAGTGAGTTGGGTGTACTGAATCGTAATGGCGCGCCG